GTCACATAATATATTTAGACCAATTGCACATGAGCATAAATGTTTAATGGATTATAACTACCTATAGCTGCTACAATCTTCAACATGCACAGGATATCAAATCCAGTTATGGAATAAAAACCTAGTATAAAACTTCAAAGCAACTGCAGAATACCTGGCCATTCATTTAGATGTCACTAAATAAGAATAGCGTCTATTGTGTTATGCCTCAATCTTCAAAGCCTCCTGACCCATGTAAGTGAGGCAGACCAAAGTGGCCAGGTATTCTGCAGTTTAGCCAAAACTTCAGTACCTGTGGCCAGAACCGTCACAGGCTTTATCACATCTATATTTTCATTACAAAATTTCTTCAAATCCTTTACTCTTTGATTATCACGGTATTTGCTTATATGAATGTCAGAGATCTGTAATGAAAGAGATATAAGGAATGTAAATTTAGTCCAAGCATATTCTATATTAAGATTAAAGTATAATACCACCTGCTGTAGAGAGACAACGCAACATCAAGAAAAATTATTTCAGGATGGCAATAACTATAAATACGGGCGATATATTTAGTTAATATTTGGTATAATTTGCACGTCTAAAAAGTTAAATAACACGTATTAAATCAGCCGGGTAAAATTTCCGCACAGCCCCATCCTACATTATGCATAAAAACAATACATTGCCATTGGGAAAACAGATTTGTTTTACAATAGTATGGGGCTTTGCGGAAATTTTACCAACAATACATTGCCATTGGGAAAACAGATTTGTTCTACAATATTATGGGGCTGTGCCGAAATTGTACCGAAATTAGCCCACAGAAAATCCTTTCGCGATCCATATATTTTTCTTCTTCCAAAAGCCGGTCCGGAAACACTTCCTACGTATCACCATGATGTGATTAAAACGTAACAGTTTACTCCGTGACTTTACCTGAACGAACCAGAAAATATTATCCATCTTATCGCTCGGAAATGGAGCTGAATTAGTATTTCTGTGTTGCCTAAGCGGTTGGCCGTGCCCTGTATAATAATCCAGAAGTACAGCAACAAACCATGACGAACACAAAATAACAACGAGGATGATCAACGATAGACAGCCTCTACTACCGACCACCATGTTTTCAAACTAAAGCCTCGTTCAAAGGCACCAATCGTTTCCGGTTTTTCAGGTTGTACACATGACCGGAAGTAAAAATATTTATTTAAAAGAATCCTATCCTCGGGGAGAGACTAGGGGAGATTACGTAAATATTTACATAAGTAACAGGTGTGTGTTACGAGAGGGCTGGGGGAGGTTGGTCCGTGGAGAGAGGGATGGTGAAGGGAATAAGGCTGAGAAAAAGCAAATTTACACTTTGATATCATAATTTCGAACCCTCGAAAACATGGCTGAGGACGAAAATTAAAATTTGGATAAAAAAAAAACAGTTGAAATAGAATGAGAGGGGAACACCCAGACATCCACAAGGAAGATTGTGACTGCTGAATATCGCGAACAATTTAAGGTTTTCAAATTGCTACCACGATCGATACCGTGAGATCTTATTGTCTTAAGGATGTCACGCTTTCTCCCCCTCCACCCTCTTCCCCCATCGCCTGTTTCCCTTTCCATCTTCCAATTGGGAGAACAGCTACTGAAGAGATTAGTGAAGAATGTTAGGATATTTACGCGTAAAAGCCGGTTGTACTTGTATATCATTAACTGATGGGTAACAGAAGACATGATAGCGTCCAGAGCAGGGAAGTGAATGCTCAGTATTGTCTTGGTGAAAATTATGGCTGGGTAAGAGAAATAAATTTGTACCAAAGGAGGAGGGGGGAGGGGGTGGTGGAAATGTGACGGTCACAAAGAAGGGGAGGGAAGGGGGTGGGGCATTGAATGTTCGCCTTTCCCCGCCCCCTACCCCCAACGTCGACTCTAACTCCAAATCAAACATAGTCGGTTGAATTTGCGAGCCTCTTAACGTCAACTCGCCCTAATAAGACGCCTGCACTGCAGGCTAAAGACACGATTATTGAACTGCCATTGACAATTTTTTTTCCTTACCACTTAACTGTGTTAAGTGTGAAGATCAGTTCATTCTTATCGGATCTTATCGTCTGTCCACAGAGAACATGAGATGATTCTCTCTTGCCACAAGTCAAAGATATACATGATTATTTACTTCATGCACCATATCTGAAAATTTCGTTTTTTTTTTTAGCTTCGCTTTGTTTTTACTTTCGTTCGTCTCTGTTATAATTTTTTGCTCTGTTTCGTTTGTGCCATGACCTGGTAATTTATCAGTATCAACGTATGCCCATCACTTTTTGTTTTTATTTTTAACCCCTCGATGAAAGATTCCCAAAAGTGAACTTTGGTCGGTGACACAGCACATATCCAATTAATGAAAGTGATGATAGATTTTCAGCAGGTCAGCGTTGCAGTCAGTATCACCTCACCAGGGAGGGATTAGCTTTCAGAACTTTTCCTCCCTCCCCACCCTTATATTCCTCTTTTTTCTCTGAATCAGCCACCTACCCATATACACACTACCCTGGTTCCGCAAAATTTACAATGTGTTCGATTTTGTGATCAAATCCTTGAGGGAACGACAACAGTCACGCCAGTCTCCAATATGGCCCAAACATCTACACAGGCTTCCGCTCGATTGCAAAACGCAAAAAAAAATTTTCCTGTATTAGTCCGATCTCCCCTCCCTCTTGTTTACCAGAGCGGCGAATTTCTTTGTTTTCTTTTGGTTTTATTTTTTGGTCACCTGATACTGGGTTCTACGTCACTTGGCTCGGTATAAAATCACATGACTTTTGCATGACACTGGCAGTGCAGAATAGTACAAGGCACAGCAAGATCTGTGTATTTCGTGCGCTTTGTTAACTCTTCATCAGAATCGAGACCAAAATGCTGGCCGTTCTTGCTTCGTTGCTCCTTGTGGCTCTTGTCAACGCGCAGAGACCCGTACCATGCGGTTAGTTCAAACATTTTATTTTATTTCTTTTTTATCCCTCTTATATTGTTTGTGCATCGATCAATGCTGAGCTGATCGTTTTTTTACTCACATGCGAATGAAGTACGCACATTTACTGAGGGGCTCAATTAGTTTCCAAATCGTTGGTTTCCATCGGAATGGGAATGCCCCAGGTGGTATCGTGGAAACTAGCTTCCCTCGGCCTCCATCAAATTATACCTGGCGCTAAGTGGTCTGTGACGCAACGGTAGCGAGCGCAAGCTGCATTGCAAATTTTTTTTCTCGCAGTGTCAGCTATATTAAACATTTCAGGTAATTGGTTGAGAGAGAATGAAAGAAAACAGAATGATTCGAGCACGAAAGAAGAACGCTGTTTAACCATGTTACGTAACATGTCTGACAATGAAGCGTTCCCATGCAAGCTTTGCAGAAATTTTTTTGAAGTGTGGAGATCGAAAAGTATTATACTGTTTTTACGAGGTGCAGTCCATCAGAAAAATTTATGGCATTCTTAGACGACTAGATGGTTTTCGTGAGATTTGCCCGGGCGGGTATCTAGATTGGCCTCTCGATGCTGAAAAATGCTTTGGATAATCCATGAAAGTGATGCAACAGTGGTGTAATATTTCATCGTCGTCGAGTGCTCCCCAGGACAGTTTTCAAAACAGGCTACTCGAATTTCTTTTGATGTCATATAACGAGTCCCAGGAATTAAGAACGTCAGCCTCGTTCCCAGATCGAGGTTGTAAGAAGAGTCTATTCACCCCTCGTTTTGGTTCCTTCCCCGTGTCTCCTCTCCAGTCTCCTGCGGTTACATAACAATTTAGCTAACCTTTCATCACAATCTCTTGTAAGTCGGCCTAAAACGGAAATTTCAAATTCATTTACTTAGTGGAGCTATTTTGTGCATAGTAACATAATCGCGTGAAATTTTCGTCCACTCTTTGCATTCTAACATTATTATCCTCATACTCCATACTTTACTCTCTAATTTTCCTCTGCTAATAAAAAAGAGACGTCGTTTAACAATCCGATAAGCTTCTTAGGTTGGCGACCTTTTTTTTAACATTATTCCCACGATCTTAGTGAATGCTTCAGCATAACTGTAACGAGATACTAGCTGCTGGTCACTCTTAGGGTTTACAAAAGTTTTCTTATTGTTAATATTATTATTACTTTTGAAAGTGCCGCACACAAAGGGCAGAAGCAATCTGTCCACCTAGCTGCTCACTCACACATGACCTATCACATGACCCCACTCCCCACTCACATGTCATGTAATTGGTGTCAATTTATCTCTCGTTTGGCTGTTTTCAGAGAGCCCTAAAGTGTGGAACGGACGTCTAATGACGGTGAGTGGCATTTCAGATTGGGAAAACGATCTCCTTGCTATTCTTTAAATTACAAGTGCTTTCTATTTATGCGGGACACGATGAAATTAACTTACATCACGTACGCGAGTTCGATTTTTTTCCCCTGCAAAACTTGAATGGAACGGGATACAGCTGCTCCTTTCGCAAAGAAGAGTTTTCCTTTCCTTTTCCTTTTTTCTAATGAGAATCTGGGTTCTATGTAAACTTTGCCATAACGAAATAAGCTGCACATTTCATCACGTGGCTTTGTGCTGGCGGATAAAGCAGATGGTAAATTGATTTTCTGGTAATTGC